ATTACGGAAACATGGTGGGATGAAACCCACACATGGAACACACAGCTAGAGGGATTTAAATTATTTAAAAGAAACAGACCAAATAAAAGAGGAGGTGGAGTTGCTCTCTATATAAGAAATAACTACATCTCTACAGAAATAGAGCACAACAATGATAAAAACTGTCTTGAATGCATTTGGGTCAATATAAAAGGGGGGGGGGAAATGACATTGCCATAGGTATATACTACAAACCACCCAACCAAACAGAGGAAATAGATGAACTTTTTGCTAGTCAGCTAACTAAGGTATGTAGGAAACACATCACAATAGTAATGGGAGACTTTAACTACCCTGACATCAACTGGGAGACAAACTCCACACCAAGTGGAAGATCAAACAGGTTCCTGGCAAACCTAGCAGACAACTTTGTCTCCCAAAAAGTAGAGAAGGGAACTAGGGGATTAGCCATTTTGGATCTAATTCTCACTAACAGAGATGAAATGATAGACGGTGTTGAAGCCATAGGAACCCTGGGAGGAAGTGATCATGCAATATTAGAATTCAACATTATAGAAGCACAACCAATAGAACACAGTCAAACTAGAGTCTTGGACTTCAAGAGAGCTAATTTCAATAAACTTAGAGAGGGCTTGGGAAGGATTCCATGGATGAGAATCCTCAAGGGGAAAACAACTCAAGAAGCTTGGGAAATTTTGAAAAATGAGATAATAAAAGCACAGTCTAGCACAATACCAACAAAGAGGAAAAAAACAGCTCTCAAAAGAAAACCAGCATGGCTGCATAAAGAACTCTCTGACAAATTGAAAGATAAAAAGGACAAGTATAGAAAGTGGAAAGAGGGGAACATAACTAAGTCAGAATATCAGCAAATAGCCCGAGCCTGCAAAGATGAAGTGAAGAAAGCCAAGGCTCAAAATGAACTAAGGCTTGCGACCAAAGTCAAAAATAACAAAAAAAGCTTCTTTCAACTTCTAAAAAACAAGAAAAAAGTGAAGGAAATGATTGGTCCATTAGTGGGTGGAAGTGGCAAGAAGGTGACAAGCAACAGGGAGAAAGCTTCTGGAGCACCTCTTGAACACCACTGACATTAACAAAATCACCATCAGTTAATAGCAAAAGTCAGATTTAATTGAAACAGTTTATATTCTACAATAAAACTGTATCTTTAACACCATCAAACAATATCTGCCTATCTTAGATCCCTGGGGAAAACCCAATAGGTGGATGAAAATGTCACATCCAAAATCACCATCAGTCATTTGGAAAAGGCAGCTTTACTCAGAACTGCTTATATCCTACAAGGATATCTTTAATATCGTTAAAAAACAGCATCTGCGATCCCAGGTTCTTGGGAAAGACTCAGTAGATGGACAAAAATGCCAAATCAATGCTGAACCTCTGGTTGATTATGCATCCAACCATAATAACAAATCAAGCTGGCAGCTACAGTTGGATAATTGAAGTACTACTCTTTTTTGCAAAGTTCATATCCATTATATGTACAAATATTGACATTTTTAATAGTAATTGCAATTAGAAATTATAATTATAATAGAAATTAATTACAAACTAAAAAAATGAAAAGGAAAAATAGAAGGTGTAGAAAAGAAAAGGAAGGAAAAAATAAAAATACAGTAAAGAAAAATAAAAGAGACTTCCGGTTGCGGATCACGGCATGTGCAGCCATGCAAAGAACTCCATCTCTTTGCCGGCTGCTTTCCCTCCACCTTAATTGGGTTGACAAGTTGCCCTGGAGAGCTGACCACCATCGAGGAGGCCCTCGTTGACTGCGGAAGGGCAGCAGCTCCTTCCACGGCCCGAGCCAGCTCCTTAGCGCCATTGGAGAAAAGATCGGCCAGTAAAATGGCCGATCACCTAGCTACACCAGCCGAAAGTCAGAACAGCTAAGCGTGAAGAACCACCATGGAGAAATCCGGGTGAGACCTTTCCTTCCCTCTCTTAGCCCCAACTATTTTCCTGTAAAAAGCCTCTGAATGATTTCCCTGCCTAAAGAGAGCAGCATCTGTCTACTTGGGAAAAAAGCTTTGAACAAAAGTATAAAACAGTAATTTTTTATTGGATATTTATTTTTTGGGATATTTTGGGCCCCTGAAAAAATCCTTATCATAGAACATTATTATTATTTTATCTACTATGCTGAAGATATTTGCTTTTCCCCCCTCTATTCTCCTAATGAGATAAAATCTTTTTAATTTGGAAAAAAAGATTTTACAGCCTACTGAGGACATCCTGTGGTGAAAAGTGTTACTGCAATTGTACATTCTCTTGGTGTTTGAAGATGGAGTTGATCTTCAAATGATAATAAAAGAGAAAAGATAAAGGACTTGAAACAGCTGTGGGCTGAATTTGCTTACTAGAAATTGTGGAGGTGGATATTTGTTGACTTGTAATAAATATAGCTTCTACTAAAAGACTATTTTAGTATGGAAATGGAGGAATCTTACCCACAGCTTGATTATGAGCTTATATTGGAAAAAATCCTGGAAGCTACAGAGTACATGAAATCTTGGAGAAAAATTAAAGATCATATTGCAGAACCACAAACTGAATTTCAAATCTTAATGGACCAACCTATAGGCCAAGGAACAATAAAGGAGGAACAGATTAGCTTTAAAGAGGCCTATATGCAACAGTGCACACAATTTAAATAGATGGAGGAAGAAGCTACTGATCAATTGAGCTCTAGAAAAACACTTGACTTAAAACCTCAAATTGAGACTCTAATTGATCATTCCACAAGTCAACTAATCACTACAGAAGAGGATATTTCACAAGCCTACGTACAAATTATGGGGAACTCTGATAATCAAAGAATGATTTCAACTGAAATATTTGCAGTCTTAAAAGCAACAGGAACTGACTTTCAGATGCGATTTATTGAAAGCTGTGAGAACCTGGATAACCAACTAGTAACTACAACACAGAACAAAATTGACTATACTATCCAGATGATACTGGAAGAAGGGGAAGAGAACTTAGACCAGATTGATGTGTCGATAAATACCCGTACTCAAATACTAAGATTTGATGATACAGATGATACAGATGGAAACTGGCCTGGCACAGAAAGAAAGCTAGAGTTAGATTCAAAAATGTGATTTAAAATTTTACTTAATGGGTTAAAAAGGCGTTAGAGATCTGGACTGATTTAACAATTAATTGAGTATGTGAAGTTAGCAAGATGATATTTTGTGTAACAATATGCTTGTGTAAGGACCCACCCCACTTTGCATCTTAAGAAGACAGAACTCTTGGAATAATTCTTCCAACAGAATCCTTTATTAAGAGAAAATGGTTGCAGGCGTTCTAGACAGGACTTGGGGTCTAAGCTCTCCCATTCAAGGTTTTAAGGGGTTTCCCAGTAGCCCCACCCAATCACCCCCTACTTCCAGCGACAGTCTCAGGCATTACATTCCCACCCCATTTTTCCTTACTGCCGGCTGGATGGAGACTTCAGAGAAAACTACATGAAAGGTAATAGCCCCCTTTGTTATGATTAGGCCTTTTTGGTGCTATCCACATTCAATCCCTTTGAAGTTGTACCAAAGTGAAAGCCATAAAGCTCCTTTGTTCACCCCCTTTCCTTCATTGTATGACAGAATCCAGAGAAGGCAGAAATGGGGTTTTCTATAATTGATAACTAGAGATGAAATATAATTGGATTCTGACAGCTTGTTTTAGATATGATAATTATTTAGACAAGATTTAAATTTTATCTAATGGGTTTAAATGATTTTTATAGAAATAGACTGATTGATAGATTATATATTTAAAATATAGTAGAATAATATTTTTATTTTAAGTAGGATAACTATTTTGTAATGGAAGAAGAATAAGAGAGATTTGTGATAAGAGAAGAAATGGTACTAATTAATGACTTATTAGACTAAGAAATAGAATATATGTGGAAATAGTAGAATGTTACTGTCAGAATATTATGTGTATTTTAGAAGGGATACCCGAAGTGCTAATAATATGTTTATTCAAGATTAAATTGGAATATGGTAACTGTAAATTAGCAAAGCTTAAAAACAGGATTTGGATTTACATAGACGTAATGTTATTGATGATTGTTTTGACTGATTGAATTTCATGTAGAAATGGATTAACCTAAATATGTTATACTATTTGAGGGAAATAGAGAGGGAACTTTTAATGAATTAATTTGAGTTATATATGTATGACTTTGTCTTTGGATGATTGATTACCCCATCACCATGGTGTTTCGTGAGCACTCTGATGTAAAAATTAAAAAAAAAACAATAAAACTTGTTTATAAAAAAAAGAAAAGAAAAAGAAAAGAAATACAATATATAAAGAGATGACTTTCCCCCTTCATCAAAACAAGTATAAAGAATTTTAGTAACTTATCACCTTCTCTTAAAATATAATAGATGATCTCTTCTCTTCCTATCTTATCTATAAACAAAGATACAGGTAACCATAAATGTTGTGTATTAACTCAATTTCATAAGGTCTGTTATTAAAACAGTTAACTAAGTGGTTCAATTTAAATCCTTAACTGTCTGTCTGTATATATTGCAAGCCTGTGTTTAGGCAGGAATGTATGCTTTAAAATCATTGGCTGCCGCCTAGTGGCGGCCCGTATAAATATGAGTCAAGCAGCTACTAGAGCTGCTTCTGTGTGGATTGAATAAATGAGCTGTTATTTTCACTCCTGTATCTTCAATGCCTCACCGTTCTCACTACACAACAATAAACATTAGTGGTATCTCCTAATTTTTCCTCTATGTCTGGATTTCCTGCCTAACCCTGCAGAACTCAGAAAGTAATCCAATATGTCTTAAAGCTTTGAAGTGACTTTAAAGTATTGTTTTTTAAACCTATCAACTAAGATAACTGGGGTTCAACTTCCAGAATTCTTCAGCCAGCATATGTCTTCTCTATGTTCAATCTACATCAGTCCTGGTTTTAGCAACCTAAGAAAAGTTTCTATTTGTAATTACTGCTCTTACCTTATTTTTTATGTTCACATCAGCATCCATTTTCAGAAGGTAACTGACAATTCTATTGTGCCCTTTCTTGCATGCACAGATTAATGGTGTGTCTCCACCAAAATGGTCCTGAGCATTCAGATTACTGATGTCTTCTTCCAATAGGAGCTGAAGTTCGTTGAAGTCATTATTGTAAGCAGCCTGGCAAATGGGCTGAGGGAAGGAAAGAGAGAAAGGCCGGAGAACCTGATTAAGTATTTTCAACAGCTTTTGATTTAAGACATAAAATGACAAATGTATTGGGGGTTGTTACTTCATCATATTCATCCAGGCTTTTGAATTGTAGTCCGTAAACTTTTTAAAACATACAGTAGGCTTCGACTTCAAATCATTTGTTTAGTGACAGTGTTCAAAGTTAAAATGGTCCTGAAAAAAATGACTTAATGACCATTTTTCATACTTACGACCAGTGCTTCATTCCTATGGATCAAAATTCAGACTCTTGGCAAGTGGTGTGTATTTATGCACTGAAGTCCATACACCCTTCCCCTCCCCAAGTCTATAATACTTAGGTTTTAGAAATTGCATAATTTCAGTCCAAAATGCGTGAAGAAAAGAGGAACTACACAAAAGCAACTATAGAAACCGTATTTGACTCTATGAGTTATTTCAATTCAAGTCAATTGTTATAATAACTTTCAGTCCAGCCATTGCATAGGAAATTATAGGATCACACCAAATAATAATAATAATAATAATAATAATAATAATAATAATAATAATAATAATAATAATATAATGACAATGAATCATGCCCTTCATCCACGCAGTGACATTGTCAGACTTTATCTACCAAGGCAAATAGGTGGGCATGGAATGCTGCAAGTACATCAGAGTAAAGTGGAAAGAAATAAAATAACATAGAATAAAAATGAATAAGTATAATAATAATAATGATAATGAAAGAAATCACTAAAAGCAAAATGATGTGTCTGCATAATTCCTGGGAGAAAGCTGTTAGCAATAGCTGTATTGACCTAATGCATATCGAGAAACATTATATAAAAGTAAAACCTTCTATTCATTGTATGCCTGTGAGAAACTAACTGAAAATTATACAGTGTAAGACTCCATCTATGCCCCTTTGTTCCTTAGAAAGAGAAAGCTATAAAGATTGTAGTTTGGACCCTCCCCCCTTGCTCAGAAATTTGTTGATTGTTAATCGCTTCTGAACCTTTGCGCAAAAATAAACCTCTCTGTTTATTTTGGAATTCGTAAAAATCCTTTATTTTTTTAAGTTCTTTTACTTTTTCCACAAGAAGATGGCTGAAGAAAAAAAAATGGCTTTGGAAGAATATCTGAAGGACAATGACGAAGATGCACTGAAATTAGTATATCAGGAAGGCTTACTGACTACTGGAGAGACCAAACTGGCCTACAAGAAAGACCAAATGAAGAACAGAATAGAGGCATGAGAAGACAAAGCACTACATGGCCAGTATATTAAAAAAATCTCTGGGAAAGCAGATAATAAAAAGACCTGGCAATGGCTAAGAGCAGGAAAATTGAAGAAAGAGACTGAGGGACTAATTCTGGCTGCACAAGACCAAGCCTTAAGGACAAATGCATATAAAGTCAAAATTGAGAAGACAGCAACAGACAGTAAGTGCCGCCTATGCAAAGAAGCTGAAGAAACAGTAGACCACCTGGTAAGCTGCTGCAAGAAGATCGCACAGACTGACTACAAGCAGCGGCATGACAAAGTAGCAACAATGGTGCATTGGAAGATCTGCAAGAAATATCATTTGCCTGTAAGCAAAAACTGGTGGGATCATAAAATAGAGAAAGTCATAGAAAATGATAAAATTAAACTGCTCTGGGACTTCAGAATTCAAACAGACAAGCACCTGCAACATAACACCCCAGACTTAACAATTGTCGATAAGAAAGACAAAAAAGTCTGGATAGTGGACGTGGCAGTGCCTGGAGACAGCAGAATAGACGAGAAAGAACTGGAGAAGATAACAAAATACAAAAACCTACAAATAGAAATAGAAAGACTGTGACAAAAGCAAGCAAGGGTAGTACCAATAGTCATAGACGCCTTGGGTGCAATCCCAAAACAACTGGAGCACCACTTGAACATCATTGGCATTGACAAATTCACTATTAGTCAATTGCAAAAGGCGGCCTTACTAGGAACTGCTTCCATCCTGCGACGATATCTGTAATACCATCAAACATCCACATCTGCCTATCCCAGGTCCTTGGTAAGGACTCAACAGGTAGACAAAATGCCAAATCCAGTCTAAACATCTGGCTGACTGTGCGATGATCCATAATAATAATAAAGTTGGGAGGGACCTTGGAGGTCATCAAGTCCAACCCCCTGCTCAGGCAGGAAACCCTAAACCATTTCAGAAAAATGGCTGTCCAGTCTCTTCTTAAAAACTTCCAGTGATGGAGCATTTACCACTTTTGGAGGCAGATTGTTCCATTGGTTAATTATTCTAACTGTCAGGAAATTTCTCCTTAGTTCTAGGTTGCTTCTCTCCTTGATTAGTTTCCATCCGTTGCTTCTTGTTCTGCCTTCAGGTGCTTTGGAGAATAGCTTGACTCCATCTTCTTTGTGGCAGCCCCTGAGATATTGGAACACTGCTATCATGTCCCCCCTCGTCCTTCTCTTCGTTAAACTAGACATACCCAATTCCAACAACAGTTCCTTATATGTTTTAGCCTCTAGTCCCCTAATAATCTTTGTTGCTCTTCTCTGTACTGTTTCTAGAGGAGCGGTTCTCAACCTATGGGTCGCGTTGTTGGGGTCGAACGACCATTTCACGGGGGTCGCCAAACAGCACGTCCGCCATTTTTTTTTCCTTTTCCCTAGCTGTGCTCTTTATTCCCTCCTCTTTGCACATGCGCAGCTTTTTCCAATATAAAGTTAGGAAGTTTCGGTTTCAGAGCACGTGGCAGAAAGCAAGAGAGAGAACAAGCAAAAGTGGTAAGTTTCGAGCACCTTGAATCTTCGCCCTGCTTTAATTATTATTTTTTAAAAGGGGAAACGGGGAGAGAAGGGCGGGGGAGGGAAGGGGGAGAAAGAGAGAGATCTGGTTTTACAGAAGCGAAAGGAAAAGAAGGGGTGAAAGAAAAACCTTGGCTCGATTGGAGCAGGCTCGGTCCATTTCTCAGGCTGCCCTGGCTGGGGCAGAGTGGGGGGGAAGAAGGGATCGGCGCAGTTTCCGCTCGGAGCCAGCCGAAGTTGGGCTGGGGTTGGGCAAAGGAAGAGGGCCGAGGGCCGATGCGGAGGGTCAGAAGCAAAGGGGGTGCGCTGGGTCTAACCCTGAGGGCTGCGGAGGGAAGTGGGGCGGAAAGTGGAAGGAAGAGAGGGGACAGGTTGCTCCTGCCTGGCGGAGCTCTTTCTGGAAGGAAACCCGTGTAGAGGGCTGTCTCCGAAGTGGTGCGGGGTTACGTTCTTGTGGTGAGTGGCGGCGAAGGGCGGGCGGCGAATCCGGGAGGACCCTCGAGCGGAGCGGGTGGGTTTTTTTACCTCCGGTGGGTTCAGAGACCCCTGCGCCCCTTCCTCCCTTGCTTGCTTGGAACGAGGGGGCAGCAGCCACCCCGAGTCGCTCATCCCAGCCCTGTCCTGCTTGTAGATGGTTGGCTAGACCCCCGCCCCACCCGCCCGCCTGGCGGGTCTGTCTGAAAGCAGCAAAAAACTTTGCCGCAACTCAGTGGCTGTGCCCGGCTTGCTGAGCGCCCACGTGAACTTCCGAGTCTCTGAGGAGGAGAAGGAGGCAGCGGTGGACTGAAGAGACGTGGTCACCATCCTTGCCGCCTTGGTCCTCCGCTTCTTCCTCTCAGAACTGGTTCTTCCCGGCGGCCCCTCTCGCCGTGGGAAAGCCAAGCCTGGCCCGGTCATCTCTCAGGGTGCTGCCTCGTCGGCACTCGGGAGCCCCATCCCCCCTCCCTCCCGTGACAGCTGGGATGGTGCTGGCGGCTTCCTTGCTCCGATGTGGCGACCAGCATTGGAACGGCGGTCGGCAGCTGCAGGCTCCGTTGTGTGTCACCTCCCCCCGTGAATGGCAAGCCCCATGGGGCTTGACAGTGGTGTTGCTTTAAGGAAAAAAAATTATTTCCCCCCCATCCCATTCCCCCTTTTGCATAGCAATAAACACCACAATAAACATTCTCATGCTTTGTCCCCCTCCCATTTACTCGATAAATATTAAACATACACTTCCTGCCTCATGCTGGCTGAAAGACAATGTTTGAATAAGGCTGTGGAAGATGACTATAATCAAAAATCAGAAAGAAAAGGAACTCAGGGAATATTTCCAGTCCGTGTACACTAAGGGAAGCAGTTGCTAAGTGAAACAGTGATTATACTTATGATCATACTTCAGCTTTCCTTTGCATATCTGTGAAAATTGTAAATGCAATGATTGGTCATAAAGTTACTTTTTTATCACAATCTTAATTGCAAATGGTCACTAAATGAGGCACTCACTAAATGAGGACTACCTGTACCTAAAAAAGTCAAAAGGGACACTTTAAAAAATAAAGATTTTACAGGCAACAGCAGTACCTGAGCAATCTTGCCTAGGGACCACAAAAAAACCCCTGGCCTAGTTAGGATGGAATTCTACCAGAGTCCAGACAATGTGGTACAAAACCAAACCAAAGCACAAACGCATCCTTGCTGGGATTCAGTTTAAGTCTATTTCTCCCCATCCAGAACTGGGCCTTCAGGATCTGGGTCAGGTCTCCACCTCATTTTCTGCTTGGGCCAGGTTGAAGATCTATAATAGAGTAACATTGGCATCATGATGACTTTTTCATGCTGGCAGATGAGCTCTCCCAATCCCTTCATGTATAGTTGTATTTTTCAGTCTCTGCAACTTTAAATGTGTGCATTTCAATTCCCAGAATTCCCCAGCCAGCATGTAGATTGGGGAGACATCCTATAGCAGAGCTCCCAAGAACCCAACTTCTCCTTTCTCCACCTGCTTAGGACAGAGAAGAAACACTACAAAAGACAGTGTCTCCCATTTCCAGGCCTTCCAACTATCCCAGAGGGATAGTCTCCAAGATCCCTTGTACAGGAAAGAAAAAAAAAAAAACCACAAGAGTTTTCTGGCAGCTGAACACAAGGGATTATAAAATGGACCATAAAACAAATTGCATGGATATGGTAATTAATGTCACTGGCTTAC